TAGACAGCCCCCGTCTCCCCGGGAGGTCTGTGTGCAGCTGCGGCTGTCAGCGGTGCCTGGGTGCTGGGGACGCGAGCTGCAGGGGCTGGGACCCTCCAGGATGATGTGCTGCTGGGTGGGAGGAGTAGGCTGGGTGATGAGGAGCTCAGAAGCCAATCAGTGCCAGGTTTGTCTCTGAGCAGCCAATCTGGGAGCAGGGGCTCTGGGTGAGCAAGTGGCTGTTCAGAAAGGCTGTGGGGAGGAGGGGCCGCCTGGCTGCCAGCGTCTGTGTATAAAAGGCCCAGGAGCTGAGCTGACCGTCTCCCAGAGCTGACCGTCTCCCACTCGAGCTGCCCCCTCCCTCTGCACCCGAGTGACTCAGGCCTTTGTTTGCCCTTCCTGGTCCGGGCGAGTCCCCTCCTTCGGCAAGATGCCGGAGTGCTGGGATGGGGTGAGTGAGGGCCCTGGGGCAGCCAGGTGGGCCGGGAGGATGGGGCATCTTTGTGACCTGTGGGAAGGACAGGGCGTCCCTCTGCCTACGGTGCTTCACTTGGAGTCACTGAGGCAAGCCCACCAGTCCCTGTAACCTGGTCCACCCGTGTAGCCGAGGGCAGCTGCTGGCCTGGTGCTGGGGGTGGGGTGCGGTCTGTGGAAATGGAATGAAAGCACAGACCCCTCTCTGCCTACGTGGCCCTGTGAACCCTGTGTGCATGCCCTGCTGGCAGCGAGTCCTCCTCCTGCCGTGTGCCCCCTCTCAGCGTCTGTGTGGGTGCTGGGACCAGCGCAGCCCACTGGGCTGCTCCTCTGTGAGCCCTGGGCTGTGTCCAAAGCGTGTCCGGGGGGCTGTGCCCGCAGGGTCTGTGTCCTGTCCCCATGGGGTTCTTGGTATTTGGATGGCAGCTCCAGTTTGCCATTGGCGGCCTCCCATGGATGGGGACTGGGTAGCCAGACCAGGACCAGGAGCGGACAGATTCATGTCCCCAGCCTCTTCTTTAGAAGTGGCTTGCATGTCCCCGGGCTCTGGGGTGCCAGCTCAGCAGAGGAGTGGAGGTCTGGACCTTCAGGCAGGCCCCCCAGCAGGGAAGAGGGCAAGAAGGGGTCACTTTCCTCCTGTACCCCTGGGTGACAGTAGGTACCCAACCCCTAAGCAGCTCTTCCTCAAGGAAGGAGAGGCAAGGACAAACCTCCCCGCCCCCACCCCTGCCCTGCCCTGGCCTGCCCTGCTGGGGTCGCCTTGAGTGGGGGCCATGATGTCAACCACTGTCCCCCACGCAGACCTTGTCCCCTGAATTATTGCTGCAGCTGACGAAAAGAATCTTCTCATGCACTGGCTGCAATCCCCACCGTGCACCAAGCCCAGCTCCCCATCCCCCCAACCTCCCCTTCCTCACCCCCCTCCACCCTCAAGGTCACTGGTGAGGGAATGGGAGCTGAGAGGACGTCAGAGCCCCCTCCCTGGCTGCCGCACTGCATCCCGTGGGCACCCACCGGGAGGTGGGCTGGGCTCTGACGTCACCGGGAGCCAATGGAGGCTCTTGGTCCCTGGAGTTGGGAGTTCGCGGTGCGCCAAGCTCCAGTCCTCGCGCGCCTCCCACCTTGGGCAGTAGAGGACCGAGGGGATGTGTACGAGCTGCTCTCAGGCAGGGCTGGATCTGAACTCCCTGCCAGGGCTGGGAGGAGGGCGGGGAGCTTGTTAGGAGGATTAGGCCAAGGTCACTAGGCCCCAGGGACTGACAATCTGGCTAAAGCCCCTGCCTGCCATGGCTGCTCAGACCCAGCTGTGTTGCTGATGTCAGCCTCCTGCAGATGGGTACCCGGGCAGCCACACCAGGACTGGGGAGGGACAGATGGGGCCTTCTCAGCAGGAAGGCAGAGGTCCCCATCACGCCCATGGAGAGTGGAGGAGGTCTGCCTTCTATCCCCCAGGGCAAGAGCTGACTCAAAGATAACTGCCCTCTGGTGCAGAAAGCCGGCTGTTGTCCCTTGGCCCCTCCCTGCAGCCCTGAGAAGACAGGGAGTGGCCCGGATGGGGCTGGCAGGCACCCAGCGGTGGTGGGCATCGGTGGGCACTGCCTGCTCAGCGGTCTGTGGGGTGGAGCTGAGCCCTGGCCCCTGAGGAGCCCTGGCCCTCCTGGCAAGTGCCCTACCCCAGCTGCTCTGGGCTTGATCCTGGGCGAGTCCCTTGCCCTTTCTGCGCCCAGTGTCCTCCTGTGTGGCATGGGTAAGTGAAAGGACACGTGAACGGAGCCCACCCAGTGCCCGCAGACAGGAAGCTGCTGGGCCCCTGGGGAGGGCAGGCCTGGGGCCACTTGGAGGACCACAGGGCTCAGACCCCCCGCAGAGTGCGGCTCCTGGGGTTGGCACCACCGTGTCACTTCCTGCCGGAGCCACAGTCCTGGCTAGTCCTGTGAGACCAGACCCCAGAAAGCCAGTCCCTGAGAGGCTGTCCCCTGTCACCCAGATCTCCCCCTGTCTGAAAGTGGGGCTGGGGTCCTTTTCCCTCAGAGAACGTGGAGGAACCTGGCAGTCTCAGTCACCAGCTCTCTCCTTCCTGTCCCTGACCCCAGTGCCCCCTCCAACTCTGGGCCACCCTGTGGTCCCCAGGGCTCCCCATAGCGCAGGGTAGGCCATTTACTCACCGCTGCTGACCTCCTTGCTTTCTGACTGAGTGTCCGGGCCTGCCCGCTTGCGAAGGCACCAGCCAGCGGCAGGGCATCTCCCACGGCTCGGGGCCGCGACCAGGCCTGGTGCTGCAGCTGTAACCGAGTCCCTGTGAGGTGACTCCGGCGGAGAGGCTGGGGCGCAGAGTCACACAGGGAGGAGCGGAGCCAGGGCCTCCGAAACAGCTCGACCCTGAGAAGCAAAACAAAGGGCGTACACTCAGGAGCACCCCAGGCCGGCCCTGCAGAAGGCTTGGGATCCAACCCTACCCTTCCTGAAGGAGGGCCTTGGGGACACTTGGATCACAGGAGAGGGCGCTGAGGTGGAAAGAAGGGCATGAGTGAGTGGGGAGGGACAGGGCTTGGCCCGCATGGCGGGTTCCAGGCAGGGCTGCTGCAGCCACAGGGCCTGAGGCCCAGGCTGCTGTGCCCTTGAGCATCAGGGAGCCTTTGTGGGCTCTGCATGGGGGCCACCTGGGCCTCCTGCCACTGAGGGCCTGCAGAGGGGCAGCACGGCGCACTGGCTGGCTCGCAGGGGGCCCCGGGCTTGGTGACGTTCCTGCTGTCTGTGCTGGAGCCCCCCGAGGATGGGTCTGCATCCAGCCTGTCCTCTCTGGGGCTGCGGGGAGATGGAAGCAGGGCTCATGGCTGGGGCCCGTCTCTGCCCCACCCCTGGTTCCCCAGAAGAGCCAGGAGCGGAGGCTGCCAGAGTCCAGCGCTGTCTGTACCCTCCAGGAACACGACATTGAGACGCCTTATGGGCTTCTACACGTGGTGATCCGGGGCTCCCCCAAGGGCAACCGCCCGGCCATCCTCACCTACCACGACGTGGGCCTCAACCGTAAGTGCAGCCCGGCCTCACTCAGGGCTCCCGCCTCCCCCTCTGCGGCACGCACTGTCCTGCCCTGCTCACACTTAGCGCTGTGGCCTAAGCCCTCCGGCCTCATTTCCCTGCTGAGTGCTGGGGCTGATCACCCCACCCCGCCCCGCCCCACAGGCCCCCTGCCTCCCCTCCCCTGCACGGCCGGCTGAGACCTGTGTCTTTGCAGACAAGCTGTGCTTCAACACCTTCTTCAACTTCGAGGACATGCAGGAGATCACCAAGCACTTTGTGGTGTGCCATGTGGATGCCCCGGGGCAGCAGGTGGGGGCGTCGCAGTTCCCCCAGGGGTAGGTCCCCTCAGGCCCCCTGCCCCTCCCCAGCCCTGCGCCCCAGGCTGCACGGCGCCCTGATCTCCGCTCTGCCCACAGGTACCAGTTCCCCTCCATGGAGCAGCTGGCTGCCATGCTCCCCAGCGTGGTGCAGCACTTTGGGTGAGTCCCTCCTGGCCCTGCCCCGGTGCCAGGGACCAAGAGGCGCCCGCTGCCACTGCAGAGCCATCGGCTGAGGGCTGTGGGCGGTGGGTGGGGCCTGCTCTGGATGGTTCCCTGGGAAATGGCACCCTGGCCCTGGAGTGAGCAGCCGTGCTCTATCTGTACCAGGTTCAAGTACATCATTGGCATCGGAGTGGGCGCCGGGGCCTATGTGCTGGCCAAGTTCGCAGTGAGTCTCCCGCCCCGCGCCCAAGCCCCTGCCCAGTCCCAGGGCCCCTGCTCTGCTCCTTCTTCCTCTGTCCCTACCCCCACCCCCCTCCTCTTCACTTGTTAAAAAAGCTCTCTCTCCTCTTTTCCCTCCAAGGAAACTAACTTGAGAAACAGAGCCAGGCATGGTGGTGCACACCTGTAATCCCAGAGCTCTGGGAGGCTGAGGCAGGAGGGTTGAAAATTTGAACCCAGCCTGGGCAACTTAGCAACTTAGTGAAACCTTGTCTCAAAATTTAAAAAGGACTGGGAATATAGCTCAGAGTCAAGGCCCTAGGCCCTAGGTGCAAGTCAAGTTTCCTTTATTTTCTGTAAAAGCAAAGAAAACAACATGTTTTAGGTTCATTGTATTTCACATGTTTGGAAGAAGACTTTCCAAACTAAATCAGAAGGTGCTGGGGATGTAGCTCAGTGGTAAAGCAGTTGCCTAGTGTGTACCTGGCTGTGGGACCCATCCCTAGCACTGGAGATATATGTACATATGGAATATATGTTTGCAGATTAAGAGGGAAGAAAACAGTGATAGAGTCATAGATTCTAAATAAGTCAGGGAGCGCTTAGGGGTTGAGGCTGGAAGGAGGATCAGCAGGGTGCCTGTCCCTGCGGTCCACTTGGCCCGTCAGTGGCTTCTTACAGAGCCATTCCGCCTCCTCTGACCATCCTGGCCACCCTGGAGACAGGCAGGGCCGTGGCTTCACAGCCCCCTTTCTAGGGGGGCCCCAGGGGGCTCCCTGCCCCATCCCTCCCGTCTCCCCCTCCTGCAGCTCATCTTCCCTGACCTGGTGGAGGGACTGGTGCTCATGAACATCGACCCCAATGGCAAAGGCTGGATCGACTGGGCAGCCACCAAGGTGAGCTGGGAGCGCCCGGGGCTGGGCAGTGCCGTGAGGGGCGGCGCTCATGCCGGCCTCCCCCTTGCGCAGCTCTCCGGCCTGACCAGCACTTTGCCAGACACGGTGCTCTCCCACCTGTTCAGCCAGGTAAGGGCTGGGACGTCTTTTTTTTGGTACTGGGAATTGAATGCACGATCCCGCGCTTGCCAGGCAGGCGCTTGCACCGCTGCGCTATATCTCCAGCCTCTAGGGCTGGGACTTCTGCAGAGCCCGGCCTGCCTGCCCGCCTGCCCTAACCTAGAGGAGGTGGTGGTGGTAGTTTGGCCTCTGCCCGCCTCACCCCTCGTTCTCTCCGTCACCCCTGAAGCCCCACCTTCCCAGCCCTCCCTGCTGGCCCGCTGGGAGTGGGGCGAGCGCTGCGCTGGAGGTGCTGCCCGCCCATCCCCTGAGCCCGCTCTCTGTCTGTGTGCTCCCCTCCACCCTCCCCCGCCCGGCCCAGGAGGAGCTGGTGAACAACACGGAGCTGGTGCAGAGCTACCGGCAGCAGATCGGGAACGTGGTGAACCAGGCCAACCTGCAGCTCTTCTGGAACATGTACAACAGGTACGCACGGGGGTTGTAGACGAGCGGGTCTGGAGCCCGGGAGACAGCTGGCTTCCTGCCCAGGGTCACAGCCTCCTGGGGGCAGCGGGCAGCGAGGCTTCAGGCCTGGCGCTCGAGCTCTCCTGCTTCTCCTCTGGCGGGACCACTGCAGCACTGCGGGATGTTTGTTAGTGACACCCCGACCCCAGCAACGGGGAGCAGCGGTGCCAACCTTTGTGAAATGGGAGGGGTCGACTGAGGTTGTAGTTTTCCTTTTTTCTTTTTTAATTTTTGTGGCACTGGGTATGGAACCCAGGGCCTTTGCACTGAGCTACATTCCCAGCCCTTGTGATCCTCCTGAGACACTGCGGGTTTCCCAGTTGTGCTCAGTGGTGTTGGGTGTGAGCAGACTCCCTTGCCTGCCTTTCCTTTCTTTTGCAAATATTTATTAAGCACTGCTCAGTTAAGCACCCGCTGGAAAAACAAGAGACTGAGAGACCCGGATGTGAGCCCCTGTGTGGAAGGCAGCAGAGAGGGAGGGCACAGGCCCCACCTTCTGCAGTCAGCAGGGAGCTCCCGGGATAGAAAGGTGGTGCCCGGAGCTCTCCGCACGGAGTGCAGATGTAGAGCCCTCCTGGTGGGGGCTGAGTCTGGAAAGAAGTCCTAAGTGAGGAAAGCCCTGCAGCCCCGTTCCTGCGGAGCAGGCCCACGCTTACCTGTGCGTTGACCAGTTGGCCCAGGTGGGCTCGGGGCCCCTCACCCAGTCTTGATGGCTCACCTTTGCCTCTGCTCCTCCTACAGCCGGAGAGACCTGGACATCAACAGGCCTGGGACAGTGCCCAACGCCAAGACGCTGCGGTGAGTGACTGCGGCCCTCCAGGGGCCCCGCCTCTGTCCCCTCCCCGGGCCAAACAGCCCTTTCCTCTGTGTCTGCAGCTGCCCCGTGATGCTGGTGGTCGGGGACAACGCTCCTGCTGAGGACGGGGTGGTGAGTGTGCTACGGTGGATGGCGCTGGCGGGCCCCAGCCAGCAAGGCCAACCCTTGATGCAGCCCAAGGTGGTCTCAGGGACAAGCCCTGGAAGGCGGCATCCCGGCCACTCCGCGCCATCTGCCATGCATGCGTCTGTGCCTGGAGGGAGGATTGGGGTCACCGCCTCATGTGCCCCCCGTGCCTTCCCTGTCCTGCAGCTCCCACTTTAGTCTCTCCACACTTCAGGCCCAGAGCTTAAGATCTTTCTCTTCTACACTTTGACCCGCACAAAATGGATTCACAGGGACGAACAAGGGCGCTCCTCCCCTGTGCCCCCTACATCCGGGAGTGCCCAGAAAATACCGTGCCTTCCTGTGCCCATGAGGAGCTGGGAGGAGCAGGGGCGTGGGCTGCTGCAGGCGGGCCTCAGTCTCCCGCTACACCCCCTCACCTCACTGCCCAGCTCATGTGGCCCCTGGAGTTTTTGCAGACCCACCCAAAGGGGCCCCAGAGGTCCGGGCTCTCTGGCTGATCTCCAGAGCTTTGGGGATCCCTGAAAGGAAGAAGCCAGGAGTGCAGCCTCCTCCGGGGCCTAGGCGCACATCTGCCCCAGCACTGCCTGCTTCTCTACCCTGGGCACAGCCTTAGCGCTGGCGGTAGGGGTGTCGCTGAAACCGCCTCCTTGTCCCCAGGTCGAATGCAACTCCAAGCTGGACCCGACCACCACGACCTTCCTGAAGGTGAGCATGGCCGCAGGGAGGGGCCCTGGCCCAGGCAGGGCAGGGGCACAGTGTGTCTGGCCCGCAGAGCCTGTCCAGGTGGGGGGCCCCACTCAGTTCACCTCATTCTCTCTTTTGCAGATGGCAGATTCTGGGGGGCTCCCTCAGGTCACACAGGTGAGACTCTCAGCCCTCCTGCTAGTGGGAGCGGGCTGGGCTGGGCTGGGCTGGGCTGGGGGAGGCCTTCCCTTCCTCCAAGCCCTGGCTACGTAATCAAAGCTTGTGCCTTTCCTGCTCTCCTGCAGCCAGGGAAGCTGACTGAGGCCTTCAAATACTTCCTGCAAGGCATGGGCTACAGTGAGTGCTCCCCACCTGCCCCACCCTGAAACCAGTGGGTGGGCTCCAGGGCTGGCGCAGTGTCCGGTGCTGAGGACCTGTGGGTGTATGAGCGCTGTGTTACCCGGGCCCCAGGTGCTGGGTGACCTCGCCCGACTCCGCCAGTGGGACCCAGCCCAGGCCCAGCTCTCTGGTGCGCAAGCGGAGGCCTCGGGGCACTGTTCTGAGAGCAGGGCTGGGCCTGTTGGGAGAGGACTCTTCTCCCGCCCCCAGGGGTCCAGGGCCTGGGCTGGGTCCTGCTGGGAAATCCTGTTTAAGGTGAGTCACCCACTCTGCAGGGGCTAGCTGTACAGCTGGGCCTGGGGATGCTGAGAGCCCCTTCGTCACAGGCGGTGGGTGGTACCCAGGGGCCTCGTAGTATCGGCTTAGAATGTGGGGACCAGAACAGGCAACTGGGACCCCATGGTGTTAGAGCAGAACCTGGAGGAGGCGAACCTGGAACTCAGGAAATGAGCCATGGGGTGGGGCCTGCTCCCTGTCCTCCATTACTCCCCAGCTTTCCCCTTGGGTGATGAGACCCAGACTGTGCTGCCAGCCCCACACACAGCTCTGTGATGCTGGTGTACCCCCTTGGGCCCTGCTCCCCCCCCACACACACACACCGTTGCTCTTCCGGCTCCTCCACTGCTGGGAGGCAAACCTCCTCTCCATTCAGCTTCTGGAGCTGGTGTCCCCTTGGGAGAAAGGTGTGGGAGCTGCGGAGCACAGCAGGAAGGCAGCTCCCCCAGCCCAGGGGCCGGCCAGCCTCTGCGCCAGGAGGAGGGCAGAGAGGCCCAGGCCGCCAGGGTGGCACGGCTGGCTGAGGCCAGGCCCTGCGCTCACAAGAATGAGTGAACATTTGTGAAATGACGGATGAGCAGCACTCGCCGGGGGCTGGGGTACATTCCTAGGGTCCTGGGAGCGAGGAGGGATTCTGCGCTGGGGAGACCGAGACCCCGCAGAATCCTGAGGACCCTGGGACTAGGCTATGGGCCTCAGGGGCCCTGCTGACATGAGCCTGGTTGCAGGTGAGATGAGGGCCCCCATCTCACTGGCAGGGCTTCCTCGGGTCGCACTGAGATCAGTCCTAGGGTGGGCGGGCAGGAGGGGGCTCCTGAGGCTCGGCCTGCCCGGCCCTCTCTCTGTGTGTCCACTCATCTCACTCTGGTCCATCTCCACGTCCTTGCCACGCCGGGCCGCGATCTTCACTGTGTTCTGTGTCTCCCCGCCCCGCCCCTCTGGCTCTGTCTTCTCTCAGTCGCGTACTTGAAGGACCGAAGGCTGAGTGGAGGAGCAGGTAGCCCCGCGGCCGCTCTCCCGATGCATGGTCGCCCCCTCCGGCCTTTGCCCGCTCCTTCTCTGTGCTGTGCTGCAGCCAGGCCGCGCCTTGCTCAACTCAAAAGCCCACAAGATTGGTGCTCTCCTGCACACGTTGGGGACTTGGTCCTGCTGAGCAGCTGGAGATTAGGTCTTAGAGCAGCCTTGCTGCTAGGCTGTCAGGGGCTGCGGGAGTTGGAAGCACAGGCTCCTCCGATGCAGAGCCTGCTGGCCTTGTGGGCCGTCGGGCCTGGCCCTGGCCCTGGCCCAGCCAAACAGGTGAGCAGGCAAGTTCAGGAGGAAAGAGCTTGCTCCATGCAGCTCACGTGCAAAACTCTAAGTAAGGGCCAAAACGGGCCCGGAGGCAGCTTGTGGCCGTGACACCACATCCTTTCCAAAGCGATCCTGCTTCCCCACGCTGTCCTCTTGTGGGAGGCCATGCTGGGAACAGCACATCCCCGCGCCAGCTGGGGGCTGCCTGGCCAGCACGGGCCCTGCATGCCTCAGGCTTGATGGGGCCGGCACACGGCGCCCTGGCTTGGGCTGGGCCTTGTCTGGAAGATGGGTCTCGCTGGCCGCTTTGCTTGCCATATCCTTTGTCCACCTGCCAGTGCCAGACCCTACCTGCCAGCCCTCAACCCATCCTTTTCTGTCCACAGTGCCCTCAGCCAGCATGACCCGGCTGGCGCGCTCCCGCACCGCGTCCCTCACCAGTGCCGGCTCCGTGGACGGCAGCCGCCCGCAGCCCTGCACCCACTCAGAGAGCAGCGAGGGGCTGGGCCAGGTCAACCACACCATGGAAGTGTCCTGCTGAAGCCCTTGGGCCTGCCCGAGATGCTCACCACCCTCCCACCCACATCGAGGTCCCACTGCCGTCCCTGCGCCAGCTCATTTTCCCTTTGTTTTTGTGAGGGTGAACAGGAGGAAATGGGGTTACTTATCTTTTGTTTAAAAAAAATGAGGGCTCGACCTTGGGTGCTGCAGCAGAGTGGTCTTCGGGTGGTTTGAGGGGCTGCCCCCACCGGATCTGCCCCACTGTGCTGACTTGGCTGCCTTGGTCCCTCTCGTCCAGCCCGGTGGCCCAGGCACAGGGCCAGGGCGGGAGGGTGGCTAAGGAAGGAGCTAGAGCCTGGGGCCCGGGCTCAGCCCCCGATTAAAACCCTTGGCGGGAGAGGAGAGGATGCATGGGGTTTTGAGATGATTGGTGCTGGGCCCTGATGCAGAAGCCTGGAGAGTGCAGCAGAGCCCTGGAAGGCCCTGTCCCTGTGCCCCTAGCATGCAAGGTTCTGATCTGTAGTACCGGTGAGGGCCACCTGGACTGTAGCCACAGGGGGCAGCTGTTATCCTGGTGCTCTCTGGGCTGGCTGGTGCTGTAGAGCTGGGCAAGTGGGGTCTGAAGATAGAACCAGGAGAACCCACAATCTGGCCACCCCTTGGCCCTGTCCCATTCTGAGCCAAGGTCTCCCTGAGGCAGAAGTCACCTGGTCCTGTCTCCCTAGTGACCTGGCTGGGGGCAGAGGGAAAGGCTGGGATTGTGCCTCTAAGAACTTCTGGGTAACCACTAGAAGTCAGCAGGGGCCAGAGACAGGGGAGCTGAGAACTCCTATAGACCCAGCTGCATCGGTTGCCAAAGGGCAGGCATCACTCAGGCGGTCAGTTTACCAGGAGGGACCAGCCCTGGGCAGCAGCAAGCCTTTGGAGGGGGCACGGCTGAGGCTTGCTAAGTCCTGGGGCGAGAGCTTAAGGTTCTTGAAGTGAACAGGACCAGGTAGAGGAGAAAGGCTCCCACACACCCTGACCCCTTCCTGCCACCTAAGCCCAGGGCTGTGCTGTTTACTTCCATCCACCCAACCTTGTCAGGTAGACTCTCCCGGCCCGGAAACCAGAGCCATTTGTCATAGACCCTACGTCAACTGTCACAAATCCCCAAACAGAGCAGGAAGAGAGCACCGAAAAAACTGAAGGGCTGTGGAGGTGGGGAGGGTTGCGTGGGGAGTGCTGAGGCCAAGAGGACACCCAGATCCATATTCATCAGCACACATCACCCCCTGCCATAATCTTAAGCCATTGCTAGACCAAGGGCCTGGTGGAGTGTAGTCTGCCCCGGATCTGCTCACTCACGTGCTTCCTTTGAATATTGAATGTGACTGTTCAAAGCTGGTAGAATTAATCCCTCTTACTGTAGATAGCACTGCAAGTACTGTTTTCTTCTTTCTTTTTTTTGCTGTGTTCTTTCAGATGAGATATATAAATATCTACATTATATATATATATGTATATTGGGTCTTCCTGCGTGTGGTTTTCCACCGGAGGTTGTCTCTTCTTTGGTCAAAGTGAATTTATTTTCCTCTCTGTACAAAGAGCCTACTTTTGTGTATTCTGGTGGCCGATGTCATGAGATTTAGAGATGACAAAATGTAAAACAAATAAAAACCCTTGTCGATGTAGAAAGTTAACTGTGCTGTAAAACTAATAAAGAAACTAAGAAGAGCGCGGCTGCTGTGTGTGTGAGGGGCTGGGGCGCAGGTGGGCGCGGGGACTGCGTGTCTGCGTTTCCGGGGCTGTCACACACCTCACCTCGCCAATCCCACATCCTTCTACAGACTAGATGTGCTTCACCGCCGAGAAAACCGAGTTTTAGGACATAAAGGATTTGCATCCAGAAGAGATCAACGTTAGGGCGTTCCAAACCCCTCCCCATAAGCTTTCTAGTCAGGGCCTCATTTTCTTAAATAGAACAACGTGCTGTTTCCCCACGTTTAACCACGACTTGTTTCACTCTTTATTCATTTACTGGATACGAAATGTGTCCCTCCTGTGTCATCTAATGAGGTAATGAAACCCGCCACGTTGTAATGAAAATCGCACTCACACTTGAACCTAGGAAATCTCAATTCTCCGGGACAGACGGGAGGGGAAGTAACGGTGGAGAGCCATGTACGAGGCAGCAAAGGATCACGATTTTTTGGAATGAGCGTTTTCTTTTTGGGGCGGCGGGGGGAGGGGGGCAGCGCTTCACTAGGCAGCTCAGGCTGGCCTTCAACTCACAGGGACCCTCCTGCCTCAGTCTAACGAGAGCTGCGCTTACAGGCGAGCACCACCACGCCCATGGGAACGAGCGCTCTGCACCGCGGGCGGTGGGGCGGCGCGGCCCCGCCCCTTCCGCGCGGACGCC